TCCGTATCATAAGCTGACACGATGTTGCTGAGCTATAATTAGGTCACGCTCTGTTAGTGTTACTAACAGTAATCTTACTGCATCAAAATGTATGCTCCCGTTCAGCATTCAGACGCGTTTGGACGCGTTCAAGACAGTTCTCGAGCTATCGAACGGAGAACCGAACCCTCAGTTCGGTTCTCCATGGTCCTTGAACGTTGGACTGAACCACAGTCCGGTTCACCAAAAGTCCGGTTCGAACTGCGGTCCAGGACCGAACCTTTCCATCACTACCCTCAACAAGACAATGGAGAAATGAAAAACGAGACCTAACAAGATATGAGTGCAAGACTGGAACAGTGATGAGTGAATGCAGGATGAGGCAGAACCTTGGTGAAAATGTCGGCCGTGTTTTTATGAGTCGATAGCCAAATGGGCTGGAATGTTTTGTCTTCGATGTGACAGCAGATGAAGTGGTAATGAAGATCAATGTGTTTCGTTCTGATGTGATTGGCAGCCTCTTTTGACAGTGCAATGGCGCCCGCGTTGTCTGCAAACAGTTGTAGCGGCAAGGAGAGAGGTATACTGAGACATCTGAAGAATGACTGGAGCCAGAGGCCATCCTGAATTGCTGAAGTGAGTGCCATATACTCTGCCTCGGTGGATGATAAGGCCTGCGTGGTCTGTTTCTTAGCGGAGTGCAACACCGGGCCACCATTCAGAAACCACACATAACCAGATATTGACACGCGATCCTCCGGGCATGAGGCCCAGTCTGAGTCGGAGAATCCGTGAAGGTTAGGGTTGATACCAGCACCCCCATAGTGTGTGCACATGTTAATTGTACCCACGAGATAACGCAAGATGTGCTTAGCAGCTGCGTAGTGCTTGGCCTCGGTGGACACATTGTATTGCACGAGACGCATCACAGTAAGGGCGATGTCTGAACAGGTATACATGGTGAGGTAAAGGAGTTCACCAACGAGCTTACGGTACTCTGTTTGCAGGTCGTTGACATGAGGAAACACATCAGTGGGGCATCCGAAGGGAAAGTTGGGGTCCATCGGAAGTGACACTGGGTTGCAGTCAGACATGCCGTGTTCATTGAGTAAGTATGTGATGTATTCTTGCTGGTGCATCCAGAGTTCACGAGTCTTTCGGTCACGAACGAACTGAATTCCGAGATACTTCGTGACGGCGCCAAGATCGGTGATACCAAATCAGTTCGGCGATTTGCCCTTTCGTGCGATCAAGGAAAGTGCGACTATTTGAGCCTGTGAGACCATCGTCGATGTGCCATGCAATGATGAATATCACCCTCACCCCCTCAGCATTAGCATGGTCAAAATTGAAGACGGCGTAATCAGCCTCACAGCGAATGAAACCGAGACGCACAAGGACCTCCTGAAGAAGCTCGTACCAGTCATATGCAGCTTGTTTGAGGCCATAAAGAGAGGAGAGGAGATGGGCAATGAGTCGAGAGCTGTCTGGACCAGCGTGTTCGAATCCAGGGGGTTGACACATGTACACGTCCTCCTGGAGTTTGCCCCAGAGGAAAGCTCATTTGGCATCAAAGCAATCAAGCTCCCAGTCGTGTGTGGCTGCATAGGCTGAGAGAATGCAGATAGAGGCAGACTTCGCCACAGGTGTGAAGGTACGTCCAAAATCAATGCCAGGGATTTGAGAGAAGCCTTGCGCGACCAGGCGTGCTTTGAAGACTGGTCCACCTTTGAGATCTGATTTGAACTCCAGTACCCAGTGACAACCAATAGTGCGACGACCGTCAGGTAACGGAACAAGTTCGTACACGTTCATTCCGGACATTAAGTTCATTTCCTTGTGCATCGCAGCAAGCCAGTGATCGCTATCAGGACGTCTCATCGCTTCGTCATACGTTGCAGGTGGGATTTTAAGGTCATAATCGGGTGCGAGAGGGTTACGATGGGTGTCGCTGCATATGGAGAGAGTGGCTACTTCGACAATGATAAGGTTTGCAAGGACCTGAGAAAAACCAACCTCAGCATCATCTGACGCAATTGCGTCTGGATCAGTGGGTGCCATGGCAGGTAGGTCAGGCATGCGCGTAGGTGCAGCAATGACAGGAGCATCAATGATGTCAGCACCAGTGGAAGGGGGAGGGATACCATTGATCTGGGCATTGTGAAGTTCATGCTGATGAGCGAGGTGAGCCTTATCAGAGATAATGCGATCCTTAAGCAACTGGCCCTTCTCAGTGTGTGCTGGAATGCGACCCAATTGGCGGATAATGGTGGCGTGAGGTGGTTCAGCAGGTGCAGATGGTGGTTCGGCTGCAGGGGAGTGAGGAGCCCCAGGTGGCAGGGGAATGTCGTCGTTGTCATCATCACTGTCCGGGAAAGGACAAGTTGAGAAACTCTCATCGAAGATGACGTCCCGAGAGTTAAAGAAAGCACCAGTTACCAAGTCACAACAACGCCAGGCCTTGACACCAGGTGGATACCCCATAAAAATGGCTTCGCATGAGCGAGGACCAAGTTTCTGCTGAAGTTCGGCAGGAATGCGAGCAAAGCACCGTGCCCCGAAAATGCGAAGATGACTGAGAGAGGGTTGAATACCGTGCAGCATTTCATATGGGGTTTTTCCTGAGGGTAGGGCCCGGGACTCAGTCCAATTGAAGAGGTAGCACACAGTGAGAGCTGCCTCCCCCCAAAGCGATGGAGGTAAACGTGCAAAGTCCAACATTGCATACATACGACCTTTGATCGTATGCATCACCCTCTCTGCCTTCCCATTCTGCTGATGAGCATAGGGGGCAGAGCGTTGACGCTGGACTCCCATTTCCTCAAGGTTCTCTGTGAAGGCGTCATTCATGAATTCTCCTCTGTTATCGCTGCAAAAGACCTTCACCCGCAGGCTGGAAAGGTTTCCCACTGCGCATGTAAAGACCGCCAAGCATCAAGCACTTGGTCCTTGGTTGCAAGTAGCTGTAGGTCAAGGGCATGCGTGTGATCGTTGAGGAATATGATGAAGTAGCATTTACTGTGTGGGGTGATAGTCGGTATGAGACCAGCAGACGTCACTATGAATGATGTCGAGGAAGGCAGCCGCATGCGCGGTTTCAGAGGAATGAAAGGGCTGATGTGGGTGTTTTGCCATAATGCAGGATTCGCAGTGTGAAAGAGGAGCTTTAGTATCAACAGTAACCCCCTTGGCAACCCGATGTAGATGACTGACAGCGTCTCGTCCAATGTGTCCAATCTGCACGTGCCACAGGTCAAGGGTGAGAGGAATGTGTGCAAATGCAGCAAACTCGGGCCCAGGAAGGAGTGATGGGGCCGGCTCAGAGAGTGGTAAGAATTCAAGATTGACTGCATATGGTTTTCCCATTGCTGGGATGGCACCAAGCGCAACATTACAGTAAGTGAGTTCGCAGGTCCATGTTCACATGGAAGTTCACATCCCATCCCTTGGAGTTCATCCCACTAACAGAGAGCAGGTTGAGCAGGGCGCCTGGAGCGTGCAGACAATTCGACAGATGAATGCAGAGGCGATGATCCCCGATGGTGAGGATGGCAACACAGGTGCCACAACCCGAGGTGGTGAGAATGCCAGTGGTTCACAGTTTTGACACTGACTGGATCTGCCGTCGAGTAAGTGTGGAAGAAATGTCTGTCTTTCACAAGGGTGACAGTGGTACCCGAGTCAAGGATCATTTCAAAGGGTAATGGAAGAGCACAGGCGATTTCAGTGGGAACTTCCACAATGGATGCGAATGACATATCATCGAAAAGACTAGCAAGGTCGGTGGCCGCAGCCGCAATGGGAGGCACGGGCACTGCAGGTGCAGGTGCAGGTGCAGGTGCAGTAACTGCAGCTGCGGCAGTCTTGCCTTTCTTCTTTCATTGCCAGGGCGCTTGTCCCTCCATTCCGCCACCTTTACTGTAACAATGATCATGATCATGGTCACCCTTGTTGCAACCCGGTGTTGTGCAAAAGACACCCTGCAGGTTGTGTTTATGTTTGCGAAGACCAGTGATAGAGTTGATGGTGGGTGTGGTAGAGGTTGTATCAGCCGCATTTGCATACTCAGACCCAGGACGTGCAGAATGGATTGCCTGCGTGACGACGTGTCGAGCTGCCTCTGCAGTGATGCAAGACATGCAATTGTTGAAGGTGAATGCGGAAGGTATGGGTGTCCCTGATGCGGGTGTCCCCGTCGTCGTCGTAGTAGGAGCAACCATGTCCTCATGCATCCGCTGCTCGAGTTGAGCCTTGAATTGTTGCCATATGGGAGTGGGTGGGAGACCCATGAGTAAGTGATAAATCGCGTCTGCATCACCATAAGGTGCACCAGCATCAATCAGGCATTCATGTAGAGATGCATGTTGACCAACATAAGCTGAGGCGTCAGCTGAATCTTTCATGCGAAGCGTCTGTACTTGCTGGTGAAGTTGATACTGAGCGCTGATGTCAGTTCAGTTGAAATGCTCTTTGAGTATTTGCCAAGCCTTATGTGTGTTAATGATGTGTGAGCGAGGGATCAGCGAGGCAATAGAAACACTCAAACAGTGTATAATGAGATCCTTAGCCTTCATGTCTTCAAACAGCCATGCTTGCATAGCCATTGTTTCGGCCGCGGTAGGAATTAGTGGGTCGACAGGCATCAGCATATGAGATGGAATCCCAAGAAGGTCTGTAGGATCAAGTTTATCATTAATGTGACACCAAAGATCATTGCACGCCAAAGCGTATTGCATCTTTGTTGCCCATCCAATGTAGTTTACCGATCCCAACAATTCAGGGATGTGGTAATGCTTTCCCATGGCGATATCGTCAGGGAACTGATGAACGATAATGAGCGGTGGGCAGATCGATGTGAGGGGAATATGACTTTTCTAGAACTTCGGTTGATGACTCAGTTTGAGTCAGGGCTCATAACCTGTTGTAAGTAGAAGTCTAAGAGACGAGTCTCAGCGTTGATGAAAGAACTGCTATGACATTAAATAGTACCTAAGAGACAAGTCTAGAGACAAAATAACATGAGCAAGAAACGGCATGCAAAGTGAATGTGAACTATACCTCAGCATTGATGAAAGAACCGCTGAGGTACAAACAGTGCAATACAACGAGTTTAAAAGCTATACTAAAGAGTCCGTGATGGCGAATAAAGGAAAAGAATACTAAGAAACATGGTGTCGATGTTGAACTTCCAACAACTTCTGCTTGTTCCACTTGGGGGGAGAGCCTTGAAGTCCAAAGCCAGAATCAGTGCCATCATCATCATCATCAATTCCATCCGCATCTGTGTCCGCATCCTCGTCCACATCCACGTCCGCATCCAAGTTCGCATCCACATCCACATCCATGTCTGCGTCCGCATCCGCATCCACATCCACATCTGCGTCTGCATCTGCATCTGCGTTTGGATCCGCATGCTCTTCCGAGTCCACTACTTGGGTGTTGTAGTTTGCATTATCATTGGTGGTATCAATACGAATTTGGTGGGTACCAGGGGATTCATCTTGATGCCCAAAGACAAGGTCTGGGTGGCTCTGTTGGAACTCCTCCGCCAGCTGTTGGATGTCGACATGGAGCTGGCTCATTATGTGGTGTTGAAGATCTGGATGAAGTGAGGGGATGAGGTAGGGGGAGAAGAGATCCTTGAGGGCGATTTTTTCGTGGTCACTGACACCAATCAAGAACAAACGAAGACATCACCACTGACTTAAAGTAAATAAATGTCATATTAGACATTCAAAGACACATACCAAGAATGCAAATCTTGTCCAGTGTGAAGAATCGACCTCCATGCCGCTATGTATAATCAGTTTGAGGGTGTCCATGATGCTCAATCTTTTGCTGATTGATGTGGTTAGCTGTAGATAGAGAGACCTCAGCGAGTATTATTGTTGGTTCGAAATATACTTACCGTGGTCTTGATGGCACCATGGATGGTCACCAAAAGTCACGTGACCAATTTACTCAGCAGTACACACAACTCATTGTCATCGAAGAGGCCCTCAGAAATCTTGAAAAGATCACCAGTGCTCTTTTATGAAGTCCTATGTTCAAACAGTGAAAAATTGGGGTAAAATCAAAGGATTTGACCTACCATGATATGTTGCTGTGTGTCAGTCACATATGTGGTTAGGTTGGGGGATAGCATGCAGGCAGTCAGGCGGCCCTTTAGAGCACTCTATCATGTGAAGTCAATCACAGACCCACATGAAGAAAAGACCATCAGTTGCACCTTGAAATCCTTTGAGGTGAGTAATTTCTCTAGATCCTGCAAGACATTAACTTTGTTCTCTTCTTCTCGTTTGAGCTGGCTGGCCCTCATGACAAGAAGCATGTGGAACAAATTACCATTCTGTATGACGCGGAATCAAGCCAGGAAATAGAGGGAAAGTAGAGTACTGTACCTCAATAAATGCTAGTAGTTTCTTCAAAGGTACTCCGTGATCAGTGGCAAGTCGTTGGGCATGTGTTTTGAGCCGCTTGGTGCGCCTTGGGGTGAGCTGCATTGCATCAACACTATAATTCTGTCGATGCCGAACACCTGCGTTAACATCCACACTGATAGGTTGGTCAATATCAGACGATCTGGCAGGAGAAATCGGGCGTGATGAGGTGATGGTCGGAATAACCTGGGATTCTGACGTAGATGTAGAACTCTGTTGATGACCCTGCCTACGTTGTAAGGAGCAAATTCCACTACAACCTCAGTGCGATAACGGCCGATTCAAGTAGTGAGCCTATAATGTTCAGTTTGACCTGGGGGAAGCGGAACAAAGCAAACTGAATTGCTGCCTCAGTATAAAATATGAGGGGCACGACAACAAGTCAAAGGGTGGCCGATCCAATATATGTTCAGCACGAACAGTCACCCATGAAGCTGATCAACTATGATTCCTACCGACCACTATGCAATGTGCAAGTGAGTGCGGCTGACCGAGGTAGTTTGATAAAGAACGGAGGTTTCAAGGAGAACGTGCGGACAGACACGGGGAATGAGATCAGAAAGGAACGGAACACAAAAGACACGGCTTCTGAGTGAGAATTAACTGCATTGCAACAACGGGCAGACGCTCCTTAAGTACAAAATCGACTACTAGGTAAGAAATGGAGATAATCATCGCTTGGGATGCCCAGGCTACCTCGTGGTTCGCTAGAGATATATGCAGGACATGCGGTTGATCATCCGTGACATGTATGGGGATATTTGAGAGTAAGCCGGTCCGAGCCGCTTAAGGCGATGTAATAGGGGAGTTTGAGAGGTAACGGTACTGTATTTTGTCAAATAAACCAAAGAGGAATATACTATGCGCCAGTGAACAAGGATGGATGGATATGGGGTTCGTCTGAGTATCTGTGAGCTAGAGGGGCAAAATACTGCACGTGACTGACCGATGATATGCGTTGATTCTTTGTCAGCTGATGCGCTTGCGTGAGTGGCTTGAACGTGTATGAGCGGGACCATGATCGGCAAGGAGTTGGATAGAGCGGGGGGGTCGAGCGTATGTTGCCGTGGAACGGCAGAGCAAGGAAGTACCATGTCAGTGCCGATCCGCGTCCTACAACGTGCCACTTGGGGTCGAGAGTTCGAGCTGATGCCTCTGTGATCTGCAGTGGGACCAGAGTGGGTCGAGAGCCCTGCATCAGAACCAAGCAGTGAGCGACCATGAGGTCTACCAGCCTGGGGTGGTGCCAAGCCCTGTCCTTGTGGTCTGGGACCAACACTGCTCGCCCGCTGGGAGCTCCCAGATGTCGAGCAAAGTGGAAAATGGTTCAACATCATCTTGAGTGGTCCTTTGGGGTCAACTGAACTGAACACAGAAGTTAGGTTTTGATTTTTTAAGGTATTAACAACACTTCCCACGCAAGTTCGGGGCTCAACGCCACAATTCAAGATCATTGAAATCAAAGTTGGTGAGACAAGTGGTACAGCAGAGATGGGACAAGTTGATAGTGACCAAGGTAGAAGGTGGGTAGTGTCCATGTGAATATAGATGATATGGAGGAGGTGCCAAATGGAGCGCGGCACTGGCAGGGAGTTATAGAAATGCAGCTTGCACTCTGCACAAATTTGATGATACTACGTACGGATTTGTTGACGAATGGTGACTCTACCGAGATATTTGACCTCATTTAAATCTTCATCATGTATGTTAAAATATGATTGAATGACACTTAGAGAGCCCATCTTCAATACTGTCCATGAGAGGTGATTAGTGCGTTCTTCAGAGTGATATCATGTAAGGTAGGGTTGATGAGTGGGTCAAAAAAATGCGCGTGTGTCGTTTGAGTGATGTCGGTTCAGCACCCCCGGCAAGAGAAAATTGATGAATTGCACTTGCTGGTTTATGAGGAGGGTCTTCTCTCAGTCACATCTTGGCTGAAAAAACAAGTGTTGTTTTGGTGTAAGATAGGGTTGATGAGGGGGTCGAAAAAATGTGTGTGTGTTGTTTGAGCGATGAAGTTGACCTGGCAAAAAATTCGGCACTGTTTGGTATGAAGTCATGATGTCAGTTCAGCACCCCCGGCAAGAGAAAATTGATGAATTGCACTTGCCAGTTTATGAAGAGGGTCTTCTCTCAGTCACATCTTGGCTGAAAAATAAGTGTTATTCTGGCGCAATGAGAGCCATGTCACAATATTACAAACAACTAGGGGGGGAAATAATGATGAGGTGGATGATAAGGACCTGATTGGCAAGAATGAGTTTCTGGGACTGGGGGATACAATTATTCATGAGCAGTAGGTACTCAAACAGGTGGGATGAGTGAATTATAGAACTAAAATGATTGTGACTAGAATATGCGGGAAAGGAAGGCGCCTGAGATGGCCAACTTGAAGGAGATATCTGTGGGGGTGGCGCAAACATTGGTGGTGATAAATGTGATTGGTATGCTGGGAACGAACTCGAAGCACCAGCAAGTTGCGATGGAACAGTGAGGGGGGCAAAGCATTGAGCAGGTGGATAAGAATGAGGTTGTGGTTGGAGAGGGAGGTGCGCAATGCTTCCAGTGCTTGATGTGGGTTGGAAGTGTGTCCAGGATGTGCTGTCATTTTGAACAGGTGGTGAGAAAGTGAGTGGGTGATACTGTGGAGTTCCCACTTTAGCTCCCTTGGTGCGTGTTGCAGGCTGAACGGGCTTCTTTCCTGTTGTTTTGGCCTTAGCCTGTTTCTTGGGCCCATGATCAAACACAGGCCAGTGTGCCACCTTTGTCATTGGGTGGGATTGCCGCCTCTCCTCCAGTTTTTTTGCTAATCTCTTTCCTTGCATCTGTTTCACAGCAGCTTTTTGGACAGCTCCAGGATCTGCAACTCGTAGTGGTGTCTCGCAAAGCGATTCCGGGAGAAAAGAATGGATATGCTGGTAGTTGTGGATGGAGAATGTGTTGAGGAGATAGTGTGGTGATGGTTGGTGTTCCACAATACTTGTCATTTGGTCAGTCTGTGTCCGTTCCTGCCATACATGCTTAGTAGACAAGTCTGTACAGTTCGCGTCGAGACAATTGTGCTGAAGGTTCACTGCACACACAATATCCTGCAATGCAACTTGAATTGCAAAGTAAATGCATAGGAAGTAGGAAGGCTCACCATTTCTGACACTACTACTTCCTCATCAGTAAGCACAAGGCACAGCAGGTGAAGCAAAGGGTGGCATGCAGGCATGATGGAAAAGACTTGGAGAGCAACAAATGCGACTGCGCGCTGGGTCATTGTCAAGATCAAGATTTTGTGGATGCGTCCAATACAAGTCTAGTAGTAAATAGCCAGTTAGCATTTCACTGGCAATAATACAACAAGCGAAAATGCACCTTCTCCTTGACTGTGTCTCAAAAGATAACATGCCCATCCACTCGCGAATGTTCATGCTCACCAGTCACAACTGAAATCCCCTGGTAGTAATGTGTGTGAGAAGGACTTTGGAAAAAGTTCCCCTTGAGTATTTTTGCGCAACAAGTTATTTCCCATGGAATGGAATCGCGCTTAGACCTTCCAGTTGTCGAAATTGTACCTGTGCCTTCCATAGCATGGTCAATCTCTGGAACTTCAGATGAGACTGTTTGATTAACCATACCTGGATCTACAAGATTTTCATTGGGAATCCCAAGCAGTCAACCATGTTCAGGATGGTCTTCAAGGTAGGTGACAACCTGCGGGCCTCTCTGAACCCATTGTTCTGCATCAGCATCATACCAATACCCACCTGTGGCAATGTGCTTGATAGTGTCATTGTGAACAAATGTAGTACATGTGTCCCGACTTGGAGCTTGTTGATTACTGAAAATGCATGTAAGCTGGAAGACATGATTGAAGGATTCGTAGTGTTCTGTAGAGAAAATGATCGCAGGTCCAAAGTGTTGGATGAATGCTGGGAGGTGAACCAAAAAATGAAACTTCGGTTTGCTGATTAAGATACTTGGAGCACATTGTGCAGTAACATTGAGAAAGTCGCCAATTTTTCGAGATAGTGCTGCCAAGTAGCTTTCAGTGTCGTTGATTTTTGTATGCCAAATGAGGACAACCAATTCTCTGATTGCAGTCCATCCATCGAGAACGCTCTTTGGAACAAGGTCATACACAGCGAATGGCATAACCTGTGCAAGACTTTTGAAATGCTTGCCGATCAAGCCCCCTTTATAGTGACAAATGTAGTCAGCATTCAGGGACGGCACATTCAAGCCATCCGTTTCCAATGAGGCGAGACGCGTCTGAAACACAGTGAGTAGTTTTGCTTTCTCGAGTAGAAAGACAGTCTGGCCCCAGAAATACTTCACAACGCCAAGTAGAACAGTGTGAAGAATCTCGGTCGGAGTGTCGAGGTGAATATTGAGTCCTATGTAGGTATAGAATCTGAATTAGTTCAATGGCACACGAAGAATGGTCCAATAATGCTTACCGTTCATCCCGAGAAGGGGGTTTATCGCATCATAGCATGTCCTGCTTTGCAACAAATGCTCGAGCTCGTCCTCCAGCTTAGCACAAACTTCAGATTCTGCTAACGCTGACTGTCCTGTGTCTCGTTTTCGCAGTTTCTTGCCCAATTCTACCAGTGTATTAATGAGCGAAGATGAAAGAGAGTCACGAACTCCAGTTGACGTTGTGGCGGCTGCAATCTTCCCTGCAGCTCCCGAGCATAACGCCGTCTCAAATTGCTGACAGACTTGCAATGTCATTTCTTTGGGTGTTCAGAGGTTTCCTTTCTGTCTCGTTTCCTAGATCAGTGAATAGCTGTCTTTTTGGATGACATACTGTGAAAATACTGTTGTAACCGACGTCCAACTCCTTGTATTCTTTCATGCCACCAATGTGGCAGGTCCTGCAAAAGTAATTACAGTTCAACCCTGCATGACTACATTCTTGTGCCTGCATTGGATTGTCTCCTGCGACAAAGAGTCCAGAAGGAATAAGCATCACTTACTCATCGAATTTACAGTCCCATGCAATGATCCCTGACTCTGCCGTGTTGCTACTCATACTTGAGCTAACAAAATGTTATGAACAGCAGAGAACACGCACTCAATAGACTCCCTCATTGCATGCATTAATTCCATTGGCACAGCGTGCAGGGATGACATTACAAATTGAACGCAGAATTCCTTCTCCAGCATCTCACAAGGCAAGTTGGCATTTGACATGTATATTGCATGGTGCTTGTTCCACTGTTTCAAGACATTCCCGGAAACATCATCCATAAATATGATCAGAGGGACTGAATACACCATTCGACCCTTCACTTTTTCATGGAGTGGGTGTGGTACAAGCTTTAGATATTTTTCAGACGATGCTAAAATTATACTAAGTAGTTCATCGCCCTTGCTTTGAATGTAAACCTACCTGTAACCCCACATGTGAGCTCACCCACAATATCCTCGAATGAATGCCTGAAGATCGAAACCGGTACAACCTCTTGTTCATCACTGACAATAAAACCAGCCTAGCTGACGTGTCAGCATGCTGTCGCAGTATCAGCCAAATCAAATTGCGTACATCTGTATATTTCACAGCACGGCCCATGGTGTATAACTCCTTCTGCTGACCTAGACCGTGTGAGCGCCCTGGGTTCAATGGATCATATGAAGCATTAAAAAAGTGCTCGGGGACAAAATAGTCTCCCGAGCATTCTTGCAGATGTTCATGGACAAAGTAAATGTTGCCATCCACACAAGCTGCCAGAGGTGATGGCAGTTCTAGCAGCATCTTCTGCCCATGACAGACTTGAGACATCCCAGCTCCTCTGTCCTCCGGATAGTCCAGCATAGTGAGTGAGTGGGTTTGCATAATCCTGAAGTATATAGTTAGAGTAGGTAGTTGTCGTACTCTTATTTTACCTTTGCGATCGCATGTCCGATGTCGTTGATATAAAATATATTGCCAGATGCAGATGTGACTTTGCGCATCGGATTTCTGACAAGTCCATGGATGCGCTCGTTTGATTGCTTAACAGCCCTGAGAGATGGGACGTCGCGAGCACCAAGGTCCCTGGCCCAGCTAAGAACAGCTCTCTTCTGTGCTTCTGAAAAGGGCAGCCAGTGCCGAACTAAACAAAAGTGATGTCACGAAGTGCTTTTGAAAGATAATGAATATCATCGACATCTGAAACAACAACAAATGAAACTTACTCCCTTCAATGACCAAGGATAGTACAGACTCCCATGCTTAACTTTCTCGTGTATCGAGCCAGAATTGGTAGGAATTTCTGATTCGCCTGCAATTGTGTCAATATCGCAAATGAACCTGCAATACTGAAAACTGACACGATAACTCAATCCTGAAATCAGGCTCAACATCTTGAGTGCCCATCTCATCTTTGAGAGGAGCAAGAGGCGTCCTGAAAAGTTTATCGTTGTCGAGTAGTGAAGCCTTAAATTCATCAAAAAGATCCCAGTCCCCCACTGATCTCGTAGGTATCACAATGCAATTCTACATCCCATAGTTCAGACAGTGGGATTGGTTCATCTTCAACACGTGCCGATATCGGTGCTGGCTGCCCACTGTTGGATTCATTGCTGGGATCCCCGGGTTCATATTGGCCACCATCAGTGTCGTGCTGGAAAGATCCGGAGTTATGGTCGACTTCCATATTGAAGTCATCGAGTGCAGGACACATAGGTTCTCCCAGAATGTTTGAGAGTAATGTGCCACTTGTGAATGGCACTATCACAGTGAGACTTGACGTGCCTGCGCTCCATTGTCCAGGAATCCATTCTTGTTTGGGGGACAGACCATGCAAGTGACACGAGTGCAGTGCTGCATTGCAGTATTTGAAGACTACACATGTGAGGGTTTAAATATATAAACACTCTTTAAAATACTTGTTCCATCGATAGGTATCCCATTCATAATCGCTGCTGGTCGACGACTCAAGTCAGCGCCAAATCTTGCGAAGTCCATTGATCACGTGCCAAATGTAAGTGCTTCATTCAATTGCGAACTCCAACACGAACTCGAATGAATCATTGTGGGTTTTCAAGCACAACAAACTGGGCCCATATGACACCACTCACAGTAACATTATATCCAACAGTTCATGTGGTGCAACACACACAAGACACGTCCATACAGCCTTTGTGCATTGGTGTCTGCTTTTCAGGTACTCTCCCGAGGCACCTCATTCACGGCATTGTTGTAATACTGCCCCCTCCTGACCTTTCAGACTGATTTGCTAATAGTTCTTATTTCCATTTTAGCTGATCCAAATCTCTGTTTCAATTGCAGAGGAGTATAGCTCATTCGCAACACTGGTCATAGAATCTCTTGCTTTGGACGGGTATCCTACCAGTGAGGGTTCTATATCTGAAAATGTATGTGCACAACCTTCTCTTGTGAGATTCAACAATTTTAATAATCTCAGGTTGCTGCTGTGAGTGAAAGTGGACACAAACTAGAGCCCTACAACTGGCATGTCGACATACCCATTACATTCCTCCCATTGCCATCCGATTTCAACCCGACGGATTCTTGCCATTGGTCAAGGTTGTTAGAGCAGATCCAGTGCTGGCTGGTTAACATACCGTCAAATTCACAACAGTGGACATGGGGTCGCGACACATTCTGGTTCGCTTTTGTTGGTGCTTACCCAGACTTCCCAGGTGGCAGTTGGTTGAGGTGGGACGCAAGGATTCCCCTCGAGGGCCAGTTCATTGAACAGTGGCTCAAGGACGGAGCTGCAAGTGTAGGTGGGGATCAAAGTTGTGAGGGCTTACTTGGGCAAATATGGGCCGAGTTTTGTACTCATGCAATGCTTTTCCATCCTGAGCCTTTGTTATCAGTTGATTGATGGTATATACTGCATATCATGTTAAACTGTATCATTCCATAGCATGTGTTGTGAATACTTGAAATGTAAAATGTAGTTTTAACATTACTTGGACACTCATTGAGCGCGTGTTCATATGCTTTGATCCTGGCAAACTTCGATGTGATGTTATAATGATTTGTTTTCCTCCTATGGGCCTCCTAGCGATATACAACATACATTAAGAATACATAAGGCTCACATCCAACAGACACACAGCTCAAGATATCGACCATACAAGTGCCATTACATATGAATGACAACCAGGGGTCACCATGTGTATAATCTCTAAATCACTTAATGATGATGTTACCATGATGTTCCATTGGTGATCTCCCATGACAATGAAAAGTTATCCATAAAGTGGTGTGAGACACATAGTTTTTTATTTTATATGAATTTTGCTCAGAATACACCAAGGTTGGCATCTGCCATACATCTGAATTATCCTTCTCGTGCTATGTTTGGTCTGCAAATTACGTGTTTTGCCATGTAAGGCGCCCCATGAGGATGCGACACCGACCACCCTGCACTGTCACTAACATGTTATGTTTCACCTGGCCACCAGCAATTCTGTGCATTGAACATGCTGTGATCCACTAGTTCTATCCATAAAGCCCATTTAAATCAGCGTCATGTTACGAGATGAAGGCAGGTCTAACACATCAGCAATGCGGAAAAAAGCGCTATTAGACTCACCAGCGTTTGTTACACCTCTTCGGATGGGCGAGAAGAATCCGCCACCTATGGTGCTCAGCACTGCCAGGATGCACTTTAGGAAGAAGGTGAGCAACCACCTTGTGATAGCACTGACCGATTAAACAAGAAGCAGGCGGGAATGACGTGTTTCCTCCTAAATGGCAGCAGTCTAGGATGCTGGATGGAACACTGTTCTATCAAGACAACTCACTCTTAATGACTTCATGGCACCGACCTTTACCAGGGGTGCGACTAGGTCAGTAAAGAACTTGCCATTAGGAACAAGGAATTCATAATTGAACATAGATAATCCGGGATATCTCATTCCTGAAAGTGAATGGCACATCTCACCATTTGGTCGGTCCTACTTCATTAATCACAACACTCGGACGACATCATGGAAGAAACCAATGCCAGAACATCCACCAGGGAGCTTGACACTGGAGTGCACTATTGAGGGTCACTCTGAATGCATATGGAGCCTTGCCTGCATTGGCATCAATTGCAATATCATCAGCACATCGGATGATGGTTCAATTCGTCAGTGGACAAGGGACGCAGAGCCAGTAGGAAAGCCTTGGAATGGTGGCGGGGGAGGGGTGGGCTTGATGACAGTATTTTCAGATGAAACAATGGTCGTATGTGGAAACACAAGCAGCAGGCTATGGCTTTGGAACGTAAAGGAGGGCATCATGGTTGGTGACCCGTGGGATGGGCATAATGCTCCTCCAGCACAGTGCCTTGACTGGTCATCCAACACCCGGGAGATAGTAAGTGGATCACAAGATGGTTTAATATGATGCTGGAACACGGATACTGGCCAAAGAATTGCACCACCGGTAGAGACCAGTCATGGTCGGCTGCTTGCCATCAAATACTCACCACAAGGCAATGAATTGGTGAGCGGAGGGAGGACAAGATGATCCATGTGTGGTCAAAGGATGACGACCTGGGGATGGAGATCAAGGGACATGGAGCGTCAGTGACATCGTTGTGTCGGTCCAAGGATGGTGCACACATCTTATCCGCTTCATTGAAACACACCATCCAAAAATGGCAGTTGATTGATGGGCAGGAACTTGTCATTTTTCAAGGTCAAACCAACAGCGTCAGTTCGCATCTGGAACCTCAAGACCGATCAGCCAGTCAGAGACCCACTCTTGCATGATGATCAACTATTCGCTGTTGTCATGTCCCCCGATGGAAGATGCATTGTCAGTGCTGGAATGGACACAAAAACATATGTATGGAGCCTGGAAGCAGTGCTCAAACAGCGGGTTAGTTCAGATAATGTGAGCATGCTTATCTGTTGTCATTCTGAGTGTGAATGAAAGCAATGCAAAGCCTGACATGAAGCTCAAGGCAAGTCATCTCTGCTTCTTTTTTACACTGCACCTCACTTCTTGACTAGGGACGCGCAGCTCCATCTAGAGATGTACACCAATTGGTTGTGGATTGATGCTTTGAACACTTATTCATCTCGTTAGGTCTTTGACCCCACTCGGTCTCTAGACAGCAGGCAAACAACAGAGGCTTTGCAAAACATGTCAGTGTAGCTTTTATTCCTGAGTTCTCACACACCTGACACTGATACAGGACAACAACTTCTGGAACACTGATATAAACTGCGCACCTCGTTGTGCAGCTCCTTCTGCAAGCCCATTGTCCCCCCCTTGTTGGCACAATCTATTCAGTTTGCTGAGTTTCAGCACTCGATCTGCAGATATACCCCAAACAATACCGTTCCAGCCCCAGCATTGGAATTCCAGCTTATCTCCTATGAAAATATCCAAATGGCCTGTCAATTTGGATGTTGCTGCTTGGCACGAAGATGTGAGCACTTGTCATCACTATAATTGTGTGTTTTTTTTTTAAAAAAATTAAATTGATTTGCAGAGATATGGGATTGTTCCTGAATCTGACGCAGAAGCAGCTGCATATATGCAACATGCAAGCAACAAAATGGCGACAGTTCAACAGCACAAGGTCCAGCTGTAGCATATACACAAAGGTCTCAGGGGACAACCAACACAAGACTCAACTGGTGGAGCAGGGATTTCCTTTGGTTGCCGTCATCATTGTCCCAGCCATGAGGTCATCTGCTGTCATATACCTGATCCGACCGCTCCAATATTGATATCCGCTCTGCTTTCCGACCCCCTCCGCTCCATCCATCCTCCGCTCCATCCAACCACAAGTCCGCATTCCACCCCTATGCTTCCGCTCAACCGGTCCCCTTCCATAAACCTCTCCATTCAACTGGACCTCTTTCCCCTTTTAGATATATACTTCCCCCTTTAGTTCATAGACCCTTACTTCCAGATGACCGGTAATCCTATTACCGCTCAATCACTGATCCAACGCATACATATTGATATCCACTCCAACTTATGTCTTTGCCTATGTAAAATACTTACAAACTATGTCCTTGGTACATAGCTTTACTACATAGTTATCCTGATCACTGCCTCATACATAGAAGTATATAACATATCCTGTACTTAGATATTTTCCTCAGTCTTAATATTACTTGTCTTCTCGCAGTTACATCTTGTGAGGATTCTCAGTAAGTCCTTGCCTCCTCTGGACACAAGTCTCAACTTGTTGTCACCTCCGACCCTCCGACCTCCGCTCCGACTTAGAGCCATGCTCTAAGTCTTCCCCCTATACTCTGCCCCTATCAGATATTCTCCCTTGTCCCTCCATATTATCCTCCGCTTTCCCCGCCCCTACCAACATTCCCCTGCTCCTATCCACTCTCCACATCACTCCCCGCCTTCTCTGCTCCGCTCCTAGTTGGTCCGCCACTAGTAGCTCTTATTCCCCGACCCTCAAAGCAGACCCAAGCGGTCCATTTGTCCTACCGTCAGACAACGTCGGACCCGCTCCAAATTTGAGGCACGTACTCGGCTAAGGGCACAGCACAAGAGCTGAAGCCAAGCCCTGACCCCTCTGCTTCCTGAGTCGGCACAGTACCTAACATCTGCCAAAACTTTCTGTCTCGATAATAATTTTCACTTTTCCCTTTCATAGGTGTTCTGTGCTGTCCTATGCACATTGAGCATTTCATGCGATGAAGTATCTGATTTCTGGCTTGTAACTACTCAACACTGTTGTCTCATTGGCTACTCCATCTTGGTGTAACTGACCATTTAAATCATACACCAGTTTCTCTAGTCTTGCTTCAAGTTTCGTCAAGCCTGTGACAACAAACATTGCGACTCTCCAAATTATGCATACGAGTTTGACACGAGTGGTAGAATTTGAGGAAAAATTTAAATGAATCAAAACAAACATATTGACAAGTAAAGGACTCTGCATTGAGATGGCTAAAGATGTTCAAGCTTTGGCTTAACCGAAAGTCTCAGTTTCTCATCAGGCACCTCCCCTTCCTCTTCCTCCTCGGCTTTGCATTTCATTGAGCCTGCATTGGACGAACCGGAACCACTGGGCTGACATTGAAGGGAAATTTCTTCATCATTCTCCTCATCATTCTCCTCATCATTCTTCTCGTTACCCCCCCCCCCCCCCATCACTTCCCTCATCACTTTCCTCATCACTTCCCTCCTCATTCATTGCCCTCTCCATTTCTTTAGTCTCCTCCTCCATGCCCAGCCTACTGCATTCTGCGCTACTCAAGCCTTTGGGATGGCCATCCACATGCCTTTTCCCAATGTAAACCAAGTACATGGTAGAGCAATGCATCTCGCCCACTTCATAAACGAACTCCATGAACGGATGTCCATTATCGTCCTGAACCTCGAGGGCAGTAATGTCATGGTTGCTCTCATGCCAAGTATCCTCCACATTTTCATTGTCAGGTTTGGTGTCTTCACATGGTGTTAACCTGAAAAGTGCCCAGGAATTCGGAATTTCTGCGCCTTTCATATTCTCATCCCTCATAAAACAGCGCCAGGCAACAAGTCCCTTGAAGGTGCCTGTAATATTGCCAAATGAGGCAGCACCATGGATATTGCTGAGATCATCAGTCTCGGAGTCCTCTTCATAAGTCAGCATGAGCCAGCCATCATATTCACGAGGATTCAGCTGCTCCCTGAGCTGGTCGCCCTCCCAGGCAAAGTAATATTTCCCACAGAGACTTCTGGGAGACACAGGATTTAATGCTGTTTGCTAGGTTCAAAATGACGTCATAAATTTTGTAGACCTCGAAGTTAGTTGTGGAGGAACTTACTACACCTTCAATTATGCATTTATCTTTGTGCGACCAATATTTGGGTCGTTCAATGGCAATATCATCTTCATCTTCAGGCTCGTCACCATAGCAGGCCCACATGGTTGATGAAATTCGGTGCGTTGAACAAAGACATCCATATATAAAGTCCATTTGACTTGGAAAATGTTTGTGTGTATTTGTTAAGACTGTGCTCAGGGGTAAAGCAGAGTGTGAGGGGCTTGGCTTCAGCTCGTACGCTGTGCCCCTTACCCGAGTACATGCCCCTAATTTCAGAATGTAGTCCAACACAAATTCTATGGGTTCCGACAGGACGTCAGAACAGGGGTCCTCTGAAGGAGGACCGACAGACTACTAGGTGAGCGTGGGAAAGTTGGGCAGGGGTTGTTCCGCCTGACAGGAGGGAAGCAGGAGACTACTGCGGTCAGAACCAACAGTAGAAGTGGAGCAGAAGGAACTGCTTGGACGAAGTCCGAAGCAGAGCGGTGTGGGTGAGGAAAATAGACTCTGTGTGAATCAGAAGTTTAACAAGGGTGCGAGGCTTATACTCGTCCCAAGTGGATTGCTACTGGGTAGCGAGTCCTCAAATAAGTGCGAGGAAACAAAGACTAGACTCTGTCTAGCAACCCTGAAGGGTTCCGGTCCTTACTAGGACTGGAAACACAAAGATGCGGAGGGTTCCCGACGAGCAGGAACTCAGCACGTGACGAGCAGAACTACAGGGAACTAACAGAACTAATGCAGGGCAAACAGGACAAACGGGGAACAAACGGAACTAATGGGAAACGAATGGAGGGAAAAGAAACTACGAGCCTGCAGGAGGATGATTGGGCAAAGTCGGACCAGGCTTGTGTCTGGTACTTGCTCCAAGTTGTCGGATCCGATGTCGGGCGTTTCGAGCGGAACTCACGGGGGCGGGAACGATGCAATGTGATCAGGAATAGATTCGGGAAGATATTTTAAACAGTGAGTGGAGTACTGGGAAGTACTCTGTAAGTGGAAGTGGAGTCGAGTCTATCAGAAGGTAAAAAACTAAGATCCCATCTATTGCTACCTATATAGGAAGGGGTTCCGAAATGCGATATGCTACAACCGGGTGAGGCTGTGAGATAAGGAATCGGTCCCAAGTAGCGGAAGGATCCATATAAGTACCGTAACACATGGGAAATGAGATAGGAACATGTTAGTGACACGGGGAACATAGCTAGTACTCACCAGTGAGGATGGAAGGACATGGACAGGACGTAGGAGGATGTCCGAAGGCTGAAGGAATATAATGTGTGTGGTATGCAATTGTTCCGCTGGGTTCCGCCTGGTTCCGTGTAGTGGACGGGTCAGGGAAGATGCGGATGGGTAGCGGAACGCACGGGAAAATGGTGGGAAGGCATGGGAAATATGTGGGATACGGGCCTACAGTGGGGACGTTCCCCACAGCGGAATAGAGGGGATGGATGCAAGAGTGTGGGGTCTAGCTCTGATGCACGGGAAGTCGGGGGAGTGGGGGAACGGGGGAACGGGGGAACGGGGGAACGGGGGAACGGGGGAACGGGGGATTGGAGGATTGGAGGATTGGAGGATGGCTGACCTAGGGAGTCAATCCCCTAGGCGGCTTTAACAGGAGTTGACTAGGATCAGGCCCAAGTCAGAGAACAGGAGAGCAGGGCTTAGAAAAGGTAATATTCAGACTGAGTATCTACAGACAAATGTATATATGTTTATATACTCTAAGTGATGAGCATAGCATAGCAGAAGGCTATGTGCTGAGTGTACAGGATTACCAGAGGATGACTGAGACATACGAGAATAAGGCTCAGAGAACAGTATGTACGCGACAGATCAATAATCGCTAGGGTATAGGATTTACCAGTGATCCAAAAAGCGGAACTATGATACTAAATGGGGACAGGACCAGTTGAGTGGTTCCTAGTCCAGGAGTGGACCGGTGAGGTGGTCGGATGGACTAATAGTTGGGTGGGGGAATACGAGCGGAACTGAAGGATCCGCGCAGGTTGGAAAAGCGGAGGGAGTAGGAATAGGATCGGGTGGACCGATAGGGTGGAGGAGTGGAACCCCAGATAGGGTCGGATGGAAGGGGTATGGGGTCGGAGGACATAGGGGTAGTGTCAGAAGAGCGGAACAGGGTCAGGCAGAGGTAGCAGGGCTAATCCTGCTGAGATGCACTTCGTGCATTGTCAGGGAAGGAGGAATGGAGCGGATGGGGAAACAGGGGGTCGGACCAGGGGTGGGGATGTTTACAGGTGGTATTGGAGGTGCTCAGATCTGGTATATGACAGTATTTGTGCATATAAATTTTTTTGAATATTTCCTGCTTACACGTATATTCATGTCTCTGTTAACGTTGTCATCTGGTATTCAGGAGCAGAAGATAGTCAGAGAAGTAGCAGGAAGTAGCTCACCTATGTGACATCTTGTGATATGTACAGCTAGGACCTCAGATAATACCTATAGAACCCAGATGCATGTCCGGACAGAAAGTAGGCCTGATGGCCATTTCCAGGTCCGGACAAAATTGGGAAAAATCAGTCTTCTCCCAGATACATGGTCCGGACATTGGTGGGGCATTTGGGATTCGGACCCAGATTGCGGTCTGGACATAGGAGTTAGCTCTCAGGGATTGAGCATCAGCCATTTAGACTAGGTGTGTGTTGTCTAGCGCAAAACTCACTGCTAGTTCGTCTCCGTCCAGGTGGCTACTTTTTGTGAGTGGTGACACATTTCAAGAATTCATTCAAATTTGTTGACCGCTACCAGTGTTAAGTTTGAAAAATATTGCAAGCTGCTCTGGCTTAGTCTCCCTTAGGCAGATCAAGTAGAATGAAGATAGTCGTTCTTTTTATATTATGGCTCTAGCTAGTATCATACTAGAACTGCATCCCAAGGTCCAACTTTTTTTCGCCAGCTACTCCTATAATCTCCTATTCAAATGAACATTATTGATCTAATCAACCCACTGCCCTTCATTGCTAGTCAATGGATCGGGCAAGGGAAAAAGTACGACATCAAAAATTTACCACACATTGTTCTCCAGGCCCGAGAAGCAGCATCAGCTATTCCTCCCACTGAACTCAGCCGCTTGCCGTCGCACAAGCTTTCTGTCGCTGAATTCATCAATTCTCCATTGCTGCCCCCCTCCTCGGTCATGGTTATGGTTCACGCTGATCAATGGTTCAGCAAAGATCGATAACATTTCTTACCTAGCTTTAGAACCAATTTCTTCGTTTCATTCAATGCGACTGGCAGCATTCCAGTGCTATCATCATGCACTCCTGTAGCCACATGACTTCCTCAGCATGCTAACCACTGCCCCCAAAGTCACCCCCGCAGGTATTGAAGTTCCAGCCGTTGATCTGCCACTGTTCGACGAACTTCTGAAGGCTAAGGGCCAGTTGGTTGAAGCAAGGAGACTGTTGATGAAGCGAAACGAGTTCAAGCCACTCAGGAGGAAGATATACATCAGTAGATTAATCTGTGTCTACAATATGCACATTTGCTCCAAAATATGTCTCGGAGTGAAAAAAAAACGCGTCCTACAGCAATCCTACAGCAATCCTACAGCAAAAACAGCGTTTTTTTTTCAACCTAGATCCCGTGTCCGGACAAAATTTACGATAAATTGTCCGGACATCTTTGGCTCCCTGGGGGATCTGGGGATTTATAGGCATTATCCGGGGTCCTGTATAGCCACGCTATCATACCAGAAATAGAACGGTCACCATTGATGTTACCGAAGGAATCAAAACCGCACGCCGAATTCCAATCACCATCGTCCCCTTGGGGCCCTAGCCAGACCAATCGAAGGAAGGCAGCTGAAGCCAGGCGTTCCCAATATTAAGGCCTAGAGAGACTTGATTGCTCTCAGACATCATGATGCTGGTCGATATGCTCCGTCTAGATCGCAATGTCAGTATTTTGATACGATCTGCACGCGAATTTGATGAATAGTAGTGATTTTAACATAGGACGATCAAGAACTTGCGAATCGCGACGTTGGTCTAAGCTGTACGCGCACGCGTCTTTGACACTTTTCGCACTTGAAAAGTGCTAGGTCTGTGCGCCATATAGTAGCTCTTCGAAAAATTACTTTGCCTCATACCCCGTCTCCCCAAGCACTCAGCTGCGCCCGGGCGAAGTGACACCAATTTGATTCTAACTACGTCACTCGTCAAACAGTACACAATTTCTCTTTTAGCATTTGAGGCAACATACCCCGCGTCCCGCGTCGTTCGAACCCCAAGCTCTTTACCTACAACGCTCAGGTAGATATCCCGTTCCCGCCGACTTCCCCTCACATTGCTTATTTATCTAGACCGCTTCTAAAGCTCAACAAGACCGTCGCTAGCCACCTCCGACCATGTCCAGTACAGATTCAGACAGCTTTGTCGATATTCCTCCTTCCCTTCTCGATCAAGCCAGCAACATCTCAAAAGACCTGACGACAACGGGTGACGTCCCACCTCACGGAGAGAGCGAAAAGAAGCTCCCAGATATGCCTGACGACTGGAAACGTCCCTCTGGTCCCCGCGCTCGATGTTTTACTACCCTCGCCTGGTTCATTCTTGGACAGCCTGTCAATCTTGAGGAAGTATGGCAGGAGGTGAGAAAGGAAAACGGCTGGAAGACGTATAACGACCGCTTGCGCCATACTATGGTGGGAATCACTGTGGGCGTGAGTATACCGTCCATTTCCATTCCGTCTTGCAGACTGACATGTCTGCTTTCGCAGCAAGGACTGGTTACGGTCGCGGATGTTGCATGCTTGCTGACTCCACCCATTCACAATTTCGATACCATTAGGAGCGGGATTTATCCGTTGCTTCTGATGGCGTCGGTCATCTATTCCATCGTAGGACTATGTTGCCAGTCGTTGTTTACGATATCCACCGTATTTGTGGAGGTAATTGAACTTTTCAAGGAGGTAGGCAATTTTCCGAAGTGTAGAGCTCTGTCATTGACCTAAATCCTCGTTCAGGAGAGAGGATCCAATTTGAGGGGACGCGATGTCATCATCCACGTCTGTCTCTTTCGCATGACGTCTCCTCTTCTCGCCTGGTCTTTGGCGTTGCTCACGGGCGGTAGGCACACCTCTTCGGTTTGGTTTTTTGGTGCTGACTTGTTACAATTTTACCAGGTCTCTCAATCATTGTTCTGTGCATGAATAGCTTTACCGCCCTTGCGGTGGTTGTCACGGTCGGCATACTCTTAGACGCGACTTTTACGAGGGACAAGCCAAGGATCAGGTTGTCGTGTTCAATATTTGGCGTTATGTGGTTAGCCATCATCCTACTTTACCTCGTACAAACTCGTAATACCCCTAGCGTTATTTGATGGGATACGTGTACCCATATGTCCTTTTTACTACTTCTTGTAGATGTTCAATCGATTTGTACGTTTCGGACCACAACCATGAGTAAGTGTTTAGTTTCCTCCTGCCAGCCGCGTCATTGATATCTTCAACGATCTGTAACCTTCCCCCCTTCCCCTTGCTTCCACCATGCATACTTATCATGCAATGCATCATTGCCACTTGTAGGCCCATGCTCTTAGGGCAGAAATTATGTATGCATAATGCGTGTTTGTATCGTGAGCCTGCTCTCGGCTACACTGAACGACGAAATGACAGGCGCACTTTGGGCATACTTGCAATGTCCAACAGCTACACTGACGCCGCGCGATTCCTGACCACTTGAAACCTCCCTCAGATCCTCTCGATCTGCGTTCTTTCACCATCATCTGCCGCCTCGCTCTCAAACAGCCTGATCTCGAGCAATTGTGGCAGGAGGTGAGAGAGGAAAACGGTTAGCAGACATATAACAAGCGCTTGCTCGACGCGATGGTGGGGATCAAAATGGGCGTGAGTATACCTTTCATTTCCATTCCACCTTACACGTGTAAGCACGCTGGCTTACCTGAGTTCCCATACTCAGTATATATACTGTCGCTGATACTGAAAGCTAAGCTTTCAGTATTCTACCTTTTGGTGTAACGGTTATGCGCGTGCGGCAGTCTGACCAAACTTACAACACGACTGACATGTCCGATTTCGCAGCGAGGAATGGTTGCCGTTGCGAGTCTTGCATGCTTGCTGTTTTCACCCGTTCAAAATCTTGACTCCATTTCTGGTGTGCTTTATCGGTTGCTGATACTCTTGCCGTTACTGCTGTCCGTCATGGGACTATCTTACCAGCGGGATTTAAAATTATGCTGCGCTAACATAGAAAAATATTACGATCAGGAGGTAGGAATTTTCCGAGGCGTAAAGCACTGTCATTGATCTGAATAAATCGCTCAGGGTCTGAAACCGCGTTTGAAGCGAGACGATGTCTTGTACCACATCAGCCTCTTCCCTGCGACGCAGGTGCTTCTTGCCTACTCTTTAGCGTGTCTCGCGGGAGGTAGGCATCCCTCTTTAGTTTGTATTTGATTTCCGTGTCCATCTATTGGAATTTTACCAGGTCTTTGTATGATTGTTATGGGCGTGAATGTCTTTACGTCCCTTGCGGTGGTTATCACGGTCGGCATACACTTGGACGCAGCTTTTACCGAGCGTGAGGCAGGGGACTTGACATTTTTGGCAGGTTGGATTGCGTAGTTCGGCATTTGGTTGGTTCACATCCTACGCAGTCTTAATACCCTTGGTGTTTTCTGGTGGAACTAGTACTAACTCTTTTTACCACTTCTTGTAGATTTTCAATCGATTTGTATACTTCGAACCACAAGTGCGCGTTCGGTCTCCTGCCAGCCGTGTCATTGACATTTTCGAAAAAGGAGAGCGAAAGTTGTCCTGGTGAAAATCTGAGCAGAAGTAAAAGAGGATAGGAAGTCCGTCCCAGATATAGCTAGTCAGGATGTACTGATAAAGAACCAAGACGAGTGGGAGGACAAGAACAAAACATATCGAAGATGAGCAGCAGGGATATACCGAATAGATAGACCGGCATCAACAGAATCGTGACATGACACAGGAATAGTCATCGATTTCACTTCAAAGCCTGCAGAGGGGAGATGCCGCAATACATGTTTTCCCAGGGCGAAGGCTCAAAACTTTCAGAAGGATATTCCTGGATATGATGTTCTGCACCGTCAGACGGAGCCATCGAATTCTGTACTTTGTGGTCTAGTAGGTTAACGTCGGGGACGACAATACGTTAAGTGACATGAACGTTATCGGCTCGAGATTTTGCACTAGTTGTACGCTCGCAATGATCGTTGATGGCATCTTCCGCCCATGCGGACAGTCGCCCAGATACTGTCTACATGCGAGGTAAAATACCGGGGAAGTCTCCGAGGGGATATACGAGCCTATGAATCACAACCAGTCGTCCTGATTAACGCACCGAATCAGAGTAAGAACTGAGATGGATGTTTGTATCATGTCTGTGTATCTTGACTCTTGAGGAACAGTTGTTATCGTCTGGCGCTTTCAGGAGCAGACAGTCAGAGAAGTAACTCACCTAGGTGCAGCCGCGCTGTCACACCAGAAATAGAACAGTTACCATCCATGTTACCGAAGGATCCTAGTGTTCATCTCTAGCCATCAGTTTAACATCTGTCAGAAGAGAATGATGGTCGGATGTAAATGGTATTACCTATCGAGCAGTTCAGTTGCATGCAGACGGCAACACATGTTTTCCAAAGTCGAAGACTCAAAAATTTCGGGAAGAATGCGGCGTTATGTATCGTTAGAGCTGAGAGCAAAGACAAGCATCAAATTCTATAGAGAAAGTCAAACTCCAATGAAACAAAACAAGCTGAAAAGTCAACTTAAATTCGCCGAAGGAGAGACGCCCAGCTGGCAGATCTAGAAATCCAAGAATACGTCAGGCAACATGAAAGGGCAAGGCGTGATGCAAAGCGCACGGTGCAGTGGCTAAGCCTAGAAGGAAAAGGATGGGGAATGCAGCGATCGTTCAATAGTTGAACTTCCCCCGGTGTAGAGCGGTGATTCGAACTTATGACGCCGCCATACTTTGAGGCTCGCTGGTCATTTTGGGTGGATATTGAGAGATGTTGATGTCGAAGCCAAAAGTCGTGTTCTAGTTCCAAAGACGCTTTTCCCGGCGTCCCTCGATAATAAATTTCAGACAGGAGGAACTGGAAAACCTACTAAGAGAGGATACAAGTCCTGAAAATCAGTCACAAACGGCACGAAACGAAAAAGGGTGAACGTACCTTGAATACCCCCGAACTTCTTGATACATGATGCATAGCCATGAAAACACATTACACAACCTATAGTGATATCACAGTCTTTCACTGGAAATTGTCGCCTTACCCAAGGGAAAGTTATCGCAAGCGGAACGAACCAGGGGATGCAATCGGCCCGACAGAATGCCGGCACACAAATGACGCGCGCTTTCCTGCGTTGTCTGAGAGAAGATAACGAAGAGAACAATACTGTATTGGGTAGCGTCCGTAAGATGTATGTACTAATATGCAAACTAACATAGGTGGCTATGAGCAATTAAACTTGAAGGTGAGAAGCTGTTAACGAACCAAAACAAATACATCGACAGGCAAAAGACTCCCGCGTCGAGATGGTTAATGATGTGCGCGCTTTGCTTTAACCGAAGGCCTTTGTATCCCGTCCCCCTCCCCATCCTCTTCGGCTTTGCGTTTCATTGCACCTGCGATGGATGAACCACTGGGGTGAGATGGGACGGGAGCATCTTCGCCACTCTCCTCATCACTCTCCTCGCTATTCTCTTCGCCATCCTCCTCGTCACTCCCATCCCCATTCACCGCTATCTCCACTTCCTCAGCATCCATGTCCATGCCTAGCCTACTCATTTCCGCGTCACTCAAGCCTTTGGGATGGCTCTCATCCACCTGCTTTTTCCCGATGTAAACCAAGTACCAGGGGGAGCAACCTGACCATCCCAATTCATAACTGAACTCCACGAATGGATGTCCATTATCGTCTCGAACTTCGAGGGCGGTAAGCATGTGGGCCTCATCTGAAGTGATTTGCTCAATTTTATCGACAGGTTTGGCGTCTTTACGTAGCGTCGACATGCAAAGAGCCCAGCAATTCGGAATTTTGTCGCCCTTGCCATGCCTTGAAACCTGGTGCTTCACAGCGAGTCCCTTGAACGAGCCCGTGATATTGCCAAACGAGGCAGAGCCGTGGATATTGTTAAGAGTGTCCGCCTCCAGCTTAGAGTCCCCGTCATAAGTCAGCGTGAGCCAGCCGTCATATTCGTCAGGGTCTGACTCCTCCTCCATCTCGTTGCTCTACCAGACAAAGTAATACTTTCCGCAGAGTCTTGGCAGAAACGGGATTCAAGGCTGTTTCCTAAGGTGGTGTCATAATTTTTCTAGCTCTCGAAATTGTTGAAGACTTACCACTCCGTCTACTACGCGTTCATATTGGGAAGACCAATATTTTGGTCGGGCAATATCATCCTCGTCGCCGCAGCCGCCGCACATGGTCGATGTCACGGTATATTGCTAAGTGATGATTGCAAAAAACACCTTCAAGTTTGATTGGAGGGTGTTTGTGTATATTTGTGCATACCCAAAATCTGTTCCAAGACATACAGAATCATATCTGTGCACCTTGAGGAACACCTGTTGTCGTCTGGCGTTTTCAGGAGCGGAGGATAGTCAGAGCCTAGTATAGCTACGTGCTGCCAGCTTCCAGCGCTGTCACACCAGAAATAGAACGGTTACCATTCATGTTACCGAAGGCCCCGAATTCCGATCATCTCCATCTCCATCTCGAGTCTCCATACACTTAGCCCAGACCAATTGAAGGAAGACAGTCGCCCCTTTGTATTAAGGTCTAGACCATACTTGAGATCTAGAGAGACTTGTTCAACATCAAAGATTCTTATGCGGTATCATACATGCTGATCGGTATGATAGAATAAATAGTAAATTCATGCCGGTTCGCCAGCTGCAGACGTGCAACACGTTCGATGTATCATATGATAAGAGCAATATATTAATGTTCGTGCATCACGTGCTGGACAAGTATGGATGTTCATTCTACTCACCATCATGAAGTTAGAAGAGCCAAGAGGTCGAGATCAGCACCGAGTACTTTGTCTCTTGCAGGCTCAGCCCGGCAGCTCTCAGCATACTAGTAAGGAGGATCGCAAAGAAGCCGTCGATTGGAGCGATGAAACCCAATGAAACCTTCTAATTCTTGAATCTTCTGTAGTGCCTTCTACATACGTGTCATAACGTTGTTAGTCACAGCGACTTCAAGGTAGTACCTTGGACTGCAGTGACGACCGTGCTCAACAAGCTTTTGCTACGTCTATGATAGCATTGAGCGGTAGGTAGCGGGTTCTGCCATGAATATGGCCTTACACACGACTTATCAAATACGAGGATCGAAGAGTGTCCAAGAGGATATCAGAGCTCCCGAAACAACACTGACAAAGTTACTCAAGGTATCGTCTCTTGAGCATCGTAATAACACATTTCCTCTTGGATAAATGTATCTACAGATAGCGGTGGGGCCATCAGCATTTGAAAAGAATACAAATAGTTCGTGCCCACCGCTTTCAGAGTCATCGAGCGCACAGGCATTTTTAATGGCCAGTGTATACACTTCTACCTCAGCTCGGGCGCGACGCGTGTTCACTTGCAGAAGATGTACCTCCGACAGCATATTGCGCTGGGGAATATGATCACTGTTAATATCAAGGTATACTGGTATTAGCCCTGCCTGACTGGTCAGTTCCGCACCGCGCGCCTCGTCAAAGGCCTTTTGGACGTCAGGGGTGACCCATATACTCAACAGGGGGATCGAGGGACCAATGAACTTTAGAAAGTCAGTAAGATGGAAGCCAAGTAGATTAATGATAGTACTGACAAGGGATGTTCGTTTGTCGTGGAGCGCAAGAGCAGAGTGACTGAGGGCCGCAGGAATAGATCTAGAGCCTTTCGGGCGCGAGGCCTTTTAATCTTTGCATTTATGATCTTTGAAAGTGCTTTAGCTGGGATGGGGGTGTCTAGTTCGAGTCCCTTCAACCACCCTTTACATCTCTTTTGCAAAGCTACCGAACAGATCATAGGTGCAACAATCGAGGTCGCTGAGAAAGACCCGACGCCGTGATTGAGTTGAACTGTAATAGAATGCATTGCTAAGAACGTGTCAGACCACTCGTTCGTGTAGCACAGTAAAAGAATCTTACGTGCAATGGACCAGTGCTGTTCAATGTGTTCTATAGCCTGACTGTACAGAGGCACTTCCATCTGACATTGAGCCCACTTCGCTTCCATGAAGGTTCGCTCTGCGATCCCACGCCTTTCGTGGCCCCCACTAGTGCTTTGCAAGGATTCCTCGTTCTGCGCTTCCACGATACGCAGCCCAACTATTTGCCAAAGATCACCAGGATAGACTCGACCTACGAGCAAGATGTATAGAAAGTATAATTCAGTTCGGAGCTGCATGAAAAACTTTCGGATGCGCACACAGACGCTTCAGAAATTAGGGACTGACCATCTCCATTGGTATGAGCTTGATGTAGAAAGCCAACCATTCAGGGCCTAGTGTGTTTGAGAGTTGCAGTAAGCCAGTAAGAGCAGTCGAGAAGTCGAACGGTGGAAGACTGGAGGGGGCCAACATCTCGCTTGAAGAATTAGAAGGAGCAGCTGTCTTCCTGCTTTTATAGATCTGGCTATACTAGTCGTAGGGATACCGCGGTTTGTTGACCCGATTTGGACTGATTGAATGCTGGTAGCGGGCTCTGAGACACTAGTACGTACCACGGATGGCGATCAGGATTCTGGCCGCATCAGGATCCTATGGCGTTCATTTCTCGCCGCCAAGGGTCTCTGGCCGATGGCGCATTCTGGCGTATCGATGGCCATCAGTTAGTCATAAGAGAACGTAAACGGTACCTATAGCTAAGGCATGCTGACGGCAGATGGGCCACAACACATGTTTTCCAAAATCGAGGGCTCAAAACTTTGAAGGATATGATGTTCTTGTATCGTCAGAGTTCAAAGACAGAGCCATCGAGAAAGTCAAACTCCGATGGAACAAAACAAACTGAAAATTCCCCATGTTTCATAACTGCGCTTTGTGGTCTAGTAGGTTAATGTTGGGAACGAGAATAAGTTAAGAACGTTAGCGGCTCGAAATTTTGCACTGGTCGCACGCTCGCAATGACACCCGCCCATGAGGACAGTTGCCCGGATACCCTGCCTACCGTCAGTTTCATCGCCGCAAAAACCAAAGACCACATCACTAACGTGTGTCAATCGAGGTCATGCTCGTGTCATATACCGGGGAAGTCTCCGAGAGGATATACGAGTCCACGAAACAAAACCGGTCGTCCTGATCAAAATGCCACAGAGCATATCTGTTGTCCTCCTTGAATCTGAACTACCAGTTAACCAAGACCATGAAATGTTTGGAACCTACCAATGAAGCGTTTTGAAGATTGGCAGGTGAAAGCAAGAATGATGATAGAGCCGTAGATCTCATGTGTAGCACAGGCCTGAATATCGTCCCCTCCACAACATTTAAATGTGTAGTATTGAAAGTTATTGCGTTGGGCCACGGTAGTTGTGGCGTTGGCTATTTAGCGTGCGAAGCTCGAAGGCAACGACACAGAGAGAAGAATGCTTTCGGTCGAATGACAGGGTAAAAGTCTGGGATTCGGGGGTCCAGAGAACACTAAGGTAACTCTAGTACTCCGACTCGTATATAAGTAAGTACGGCTAGGCTAAATGAGGCTCGGGATAAACAGGGAGTAATCTAATGAGATAAGGAGTAGCTAAGTTACCCATATTGAATAAATAAGACCGTTACAGTAGTGTTCTACTTCTAAAGACGCTTTCCCTGGCGTCCTGCGATAATAATCAACACAGGAGGGCTCGACAACCCACTAACAGATGATACAAGTCCTGAAAAATCAGTCACGAACGACACGAAATGGAGAAGGATGAACGTACCTTGAATAATCTCCGAGCTTCTCGATGCATGATGCATAGCCCTGAAAACACATTACACAACCGATTGAACCTATAGCTGGTTCGCTGAACCTCCAATGACCCAACTTGATCCCAAGAAACTGCTCATAATCGGTGGAGGACCATGCGGGCTCATAACACTCCGTAACTGTCTTCACCGTGGGACATTCACTAAAGTCCAGCTCGTCGAAAGACAAAACGACATAGGCGGCGTCTGGTAAGTAGTACATCTATCGATATCACTCCAGCTCACACCATAACCCTTGAAGGTATCAAAACAATGTCTCCGATCATCGCCCGTGCTGGTCCACCCCCGCATACCCTGGTCTCACAGGAAACGTCATACCCGAATTTCTCTCCTTCTCAGAATACCCTTTTCCAGCGCCTCCCAGGGAACATCAGCCATTCCCTACGTTAGCAGAGACGAATGCTTATCTTAAGGACTTTACGCGCCCGTTTTTTGAAAACGGGCATATCCGTCTGAGCTTCGAGGTTATCGGAGTGGAAGAGTTGGAGGTCGGTGGATGGATGGTGCGCATGAAGGATTGGAATCAAGGCGGCATCGTACTGGAAGAGACTTGGGATGCGGTAGTTATCACCACCGTATGGTTCGATAACCCGTATTTTCCAGACATACCGGGCCTTCAAGAACTGCAGCAGCAGCAACCTAGCAAAGTCCAGCACGCCATGAACTGGACGGGTCCGCATGCAGACTACGAAGAAAAGGTAAATTTCGTCTCTCCTCACATCCTATGAAAACTAACACGATCTCGATTCCAGCGTGTCCTCGTCATCGGAAATGCAAACTCTGCAAACGAAATAGCCGCTCAGCTCGCGCCCATAGTTCAAACGCCAATATACAGATCCACTCGCCGAATCTCTGTATTCCCCTCCTTACCCGACACGCGCATCCAAGACATCGGCCCTATATCCCGCTACTCCAGCACCAACGATAAAATCACCGCGCACGTCCAAGACGGAACCATCATCGAAGACGTCGACATCGTTATATTCGGAACAGGATACTATCCGCATGTACCCTACCTCCGCGTTCTCCACCCAGACTTAAATCCAGATCACACTGGTGCTCGTACCCTTGTATCATTGACATCCCGCACAATAACGCCAACGCGCATCCCCTCCCTCCACAACCAAATCCTGTACGCGCACAATCCCACCCTCGCATTTATAGGCGCACCCACCTCATTCATCCCCTTCACCCTCTCAGACCTCACCAGCACCTGGCTCGCACTCACATGGTCCGGGCTCATACCCATACCCACCACACCTGATGAAAGACTCGCATACGAACGAGAACGCATCCACACGCTCGAGAAACAACGCTCAGAAACCGATAATCCTTCCGATTTGATCAACTTTCATTTTTTGGGACGGTATGAGATGGGGTATGCGAGGGAGATCAGGGGGGATGTTGTTAGGGCAAGGCCGGGATTGGGGGAAGTGCTTGCCAGGTGGGATGATGACCAGGACGAGAGGCGGTTCGTGATGTATGCTAAGAAGATGGAGAGTTTGTATGTTTCTGCGGGCGTCGAGAGACCGATACCGAAAGATGCTGATGCGATGTAATTTGTTTGAGAGTGTTGACGTGACGTAGACCGAGCTATTGCTGCGACAGGTGTCCTCCCGCACATGCATTTCAAGGATGACATATTGTGCATGGAAGGTGAGTAAAACAATGACGAGAGCGACTGACCAGGGATGTACTGTGACTGATAATACGATACATGAAGTGACTGGAGCGATACTAGTAATAGACATCCACAAACGACTTCTCAACTGGTGCTCTGAGCAATAATAATTCGATCATACAAATCGTGGTGGTTTGCTTTCCTGTTGTACTAAGTCAGCTTATAAGGATGCCTAAGGATATTGTTCCATATGTACAGGTAGTACTACTGTCAAGGTATGAATGCAGACGTCAGAGATTCCCGTCGAAATACACACAACTACACTATCTCTAGCGTCCTCACGTCCATCATATCACGAACACTAGCCATGTCCTTGACCTGTGCGATGATCTTGTTATCTGAGGCGATTCTCTTATACTCCCCACTCCGCTGTTGCGCTAGCAACAACGCGCCAAAAGGTTGTCCAAGACGAACGATCAACCTCAACCTTCGCTCGCTCGACCCTGAATCAAGCGGCTCATCTTCTCCAGAAGATTCGCTGTGCGATTCGTCCGATGGCGACTCGGACTCGGACTCTGACCGATCGTCTACGCTCTGTACATCGTCTGCAAGATCAGGCAGCTCGAGGTCAAAGCGATTCCACGGACGGACGAGTAAGAATGACTGTCGAGTAGATCTTGCCCTCGAGAACTGAACCAGCTTATCATCTGTGGTGATTAACATGTCTTGGAGCCCGTCCGCCTTGACTTCATAAGTGGGACATGTCTCCCGGTCTTCACTACGCCTCCGTTTGACTGCTGTCACAGGAAATGTGATGCAATGCAGATGCAGCCTGCGGTTCGCGAAACGAGGAGCGCCCATGCTGCCAAGCTGAGCATATAATGTCGAAGCAAGCTTCATAACAGCAGCATCATGATCTCGCAGCGATGAGACTGATGACTGTATTTTATCTTCAGATGGGAGTGGCAGCGTGCATGGTGGAAGATCGTAAGAGGCGATGTCAGCTGGTAAACAGCTGTTGAACTCGGATGCTTTTCCGACCCAATCCAGGATAATGATGTCGCCCGACTGAGCTATGATCTCCTACAAGAGCCGCCCAAGCGCATTTTCTTTCCCCTCGCCATAGATAACAGGTAAATGGATTTTGAAGATGCCAAACAATGAGTATGCTATGTCTTCCTGTACCGTGGTGATACGGCTCGACACCCATTGGAGTTTCTGTCGCGCGCCTGTCATCCCCGGACGGAAATTGACGAGGGACAGTGCATCTATGCCTGTTGAATCCTGCAACTCCCGCATGATAGTAACAGACTCCTTGTGGTTGGTAGAGTGGTCATAGCGGTAGGGGATCCACTTTGCATCGTAGAACAGAACAATTCTAGGAGCGAGGAATTCCTGAACAGTCCATCCTCGCATGTTCCAAGCGCTGTTTGCAAGTGTGCGAGATGTCGACCAAGGCGGAACATCCGACAAGTAGACAATTGTAAGAGCTGACTGGCGATACCAGACAAACATGGAGTTCACCGATCGCTGGACCTCGGCACTGTTGCTCTGGTCGATGCAGCATGTATCGCTCCACGCCCAGTGATACCCTGCATCACGAGTGACTTCGCAGAACTTCTGCAACTTCACCGTGGTTCCCATTGGATCCAACTCGTATATGACCTTGTTCTGAACGTCCTGCAGCAGCATCTCCTTACTTTCCCACCTATGTGATAACATGACCCAACTGAAGTACATCGCCACCACTTCTCTGATGGACTTCGTGTGGAGGGGCGCAGGAGTCATTGGTGATGTCAAGATTTCCTTGTACTCTGTGCTTTCTAAGAACGCGTTAATCTGTGCCTCTCGATTGTATAAACGCCCGGTGGAAGTGTTGAGTAGACGAAGCGGGGCATTTTCCAGTTGCGCGTCAATGGCTTTCCGAATATCTGTTTCGGATAGACTGGAGTGTATGGCAACCGCATCAAGCTCTTTGGCTAGGACATGGGGTTCGTCACGGAGGGCGACAGCTACATCGGTCGCCGGCAAGCAGGTAATCAAGAATTTGAAGCTAGGTGGGAGAAATTGTGCCTATTCCTTTAGGACAGAGACCATCTCTGTGCGTGAATTAATATCACCACATGCGTCGAGGGCGTCAATTACAATAAGTACAGGGCCGAAGCTCGTGAGCATTTGCGCCGATGTGAGGATGAAGTCGAACTGGGTGTGAATATGTGGGGAAGAGCCCATTGCTCGCTGTTTCATCTTGTTCCCGAGACAAGCCATAAACTCCGGGTCGTGATCTGCAAGATCGCGAGCGATCGTGCTAAAAAGATTGGTGGGTTTCCTCTGATCTTGACGTGTTCTGTCAAGGCAGTATGACGATCCTAGACGATATATGATGTCGAACTGGCGAGCTACAGCGTGGGCAACTGCGCTAGTCTCGGGTTCGTGAGGCCCGATCAGCAGATAGATTCCTTGATTGCTCTTTCCATTCACCCAGTCCAAAATCTCAGTGACATGGTTTCCGTCCAGTGGAATACCGCAACGTCTCTGCGCATGGTACGAAGCGCGAGTCGCGTAAGGCAGGGTGCCAAGATCTACGTTGGTAGCTGATCTGGATGAGCAATGCTGTCCCCCGACAACGGAGAACTACCTTACCAGTGTCTTTTAAGGCGTCCTTGATGCGAAAAACGACCGATTGAGTGTTGATAACAACTTTTTGCTCTAGAGCTGTCTTGATATTTCTGAAGGCAGTTTCATAGGCCTGGATGATTGCGTCGATGTCCAAGAGCACATTGGAGATGCTATGCTTCACTGAATAAATGTTAATTTAGGAACTGCATCATGCGTGATTTTGATGGCTTACATCCGCTTTTATGAATGGCATAGTCACGAATAAAGTATGCACACTCTATTGTTTGACGAGCGAGCAAGTTCACAGTCTCCGCTTGATTATGAAAACTGGACAAATCTGAGGCATTCGGTAGTAGGCCATAGCTCTCACACATAATGGACGCTAATCGTCGAATGCTGTCGTCACGAGCGAACTGCTGTTGTATAACCTACACATTCGATGAGTTTGCAACGAAAGCTCAAGGTGGGAATATAAACCTCGTGGCCTGCAGTCAGGACCATCAGTGCCATCCTGGTGTACGAGCAAGCCTACCATATGGAATTTAAAAAAAAGAATCAGCTCCGAGTGCTCGAGGTCAAGTTTTGATCATACCTCTGCGAAAGCGTCACCTATGTTAACAAAAGCAGTGATACGTGATACGAGGACCTCGAAGGTGCCTTCGGTTGGAGCAGTAGGATCGGAAGTGAATAAGCGAGCATTTGGTTCATCAAGTATTGGAGTGCATGATAGGACGCGACGCGGAGTCAAAGTGGCGTGTTGCTTAACGGTTTGCTTCAGGGACGTGTGCGTGACAGTCTGGAAATCGGCTTGATCGAAGGAAATAGACTTTTCTCTAGTCTCAACGTGTTTGAATGCGACGAACCCCTTTGATGACCCTGCATCCGTGTGTGAAGGGGAGAAATAATCGGACAGTGACAGCTCGGTCTGGATTGGAGGGGTGAGTGGACGAGGTTTAGTTCTGCCAGTGGTGAATCCATTGTCACGAAGTTGCCCAGTGACAGCCGCATCAAGCTCTTTGGCTAGGACATGGGGTTCGTCACGGAGGGCGATGGCTACATCAGTCTCCGAGAGGCAGGTAATCAGGAATTTGAAGCTAGGTGGGAGAAATTGTGCCTTTTCCTTTAGGACAGAGACCACCTCTGTGTGTGAATTAACATCACCACATGCGTCGAGGGCGTCGATTATAACAAGCACAGGACCAAAGCTCGTCAATTGTTGCGCCGATGTGAGGATGAAATTAAACTGCGTGGGAATATGTGGGGAAGAGGCTATTGCCCGCCGTTTCGTCATATCCCTGAGACAAGCCATGAACTCCGGGTCGTGATCTGCAAGATCGCGAGCGATCGTGCTAAAAATATTTGCGGGCTTTTTCTGACCTTGACGTGTTCTGTCAAGACAGTATGATGATCCTAGACGAGATATGTTGTCGAATTGGCGAGCTATGGCGTGGGCAATTGCGCTGGTCTCGAATCCGCGAGGCCCGATCAACAGATAGATTGCTTCACTGCTCTTGCCATTTACCCAGTCCGAAATCTCAGCGACATGGGTTTCCTCCAGTGGCATATCGTAAATCCTCTGCGAATGGTACGAAGCGCCAGTCGCATAAGGCAAGGCAGTAAGATCTACTTTGATAGCTGGGCTTGATAAGAAATGCTGTCCCCCGACAATGAATAACTACTTACCAAGGTCTTTCAAGGCGTCATGGATGCGAAAAATGACCAATTGAGTGTTGATAACAACTTTTTGCTCTAGAGCTATCTTGATTTGTCTGAAGACCGTTTCATATTTCTGGATGGTTGCGTCGATGTTCGAGAAAATATTGGTGATGCCATGCTTCACTGGACAACTGTTAATTCGGGAACTGCATCATGCTCGATTTCAATAGCTTACATCCGCTTTGATGAATGGCATAGTCACGAACAAAGTATGCGCACTCTAGTGTTTGACGAGCGAGCAAGTTTATGGTCTCCGCTTGAGCATCGAAGCTAGACAAATCCGGGGCATTCGATAGCAGGCCATGGCTCTCACACATGATGGACGCTAATTGTCGAATGCTGTCATCACGAGAGAGCTGCTGCTGTATAACCTGCACATTGGGTGAGTTTGCAACAAAAGGTCAAAGTGGAAATGCAAACCTCGTGACCTGCAGTCAGTACCATGAGTGCCATCTTGGTGTACGGATGGGCCTACCATGGAAAATAAATGAATAAGCTGTAAGTGCTCAAGGTCAAGTTCTAGTCATACCTCTCTGAAAGCGCGAGCGATTTTGACAAAAGTAGTGATCCGTGACAACAGGAGCTGGAACACATCTATTGTGGCATCAACTGAAACGACTTGCGCGGAGAGTGGCTCGGCGTCCCCTTGCACGCCCCCCTTCCGTGTGAGAGATGCCATCGCTGAGACAGCACGAACTATGTCGTCAATGTTGTGGGCTGTAATCCTTAGACTCTCTCGACGACGGACCTCCACCGTGTTCGTTTCCATGAAAGGACGAACTTCGCATTATCCGAAATGAAAGCTTTGTCTCCAGATTTTTTTGGCTATGCTTGTCGAAAACAACGAGCTGCCCATCACAGCCTGTACATGGAGGTAAACGATAGCAACAAATGCAAAATTTTGATCCCCTACATCCAGAGCTCTGCAGAAATGCACTAATTCGACCGCTCACCATTCCAATATACTCATCACTGTGAAGGTGGCGTCGGGCATAAACTTGGAGTGACAGCGAGGCTGTCTCCGGAATGTGACTAGTGCTAGTGAACAACGGTGGTGGATGGATTGTCAAGGTCTAACTTACAAAACGTATTTCTCGTTCCAGTATATCGAGCCACTCTCCCCAGTTTTTGAGCTGGTCACTTGAATAATATCCTCGACCGCCAGCTGGACAAAAAATTGGTTGTTGAATGCGACCATTCCAATCTTCGGCAGATGAGTCAAGACAATAGCTAGAAAATTAATGAAGAACAAGAAGGAAGTTTGGAACACGAGATACTTGCCTGAGACCTCCATAGCAATTGTAGTCGACGCTACTACACACGCGACCCCCTTGCCATCCATGATGTTGGGTTTTCCGTCGTCGAGCTGAGAGCCATCTGAGGTAGTTGATGTTAAAGATGCAACTTGAAACTCCATGCTTGCAGGAAGTTGGCGTGTTACGATCTCATCTGTGTACGAAATCGGTCGCCTGATAACTGTGATATGCAGATGAGTGACCGTCAACCAACAAGGTAATGCAACTGACAACCCTGTCGCAGTAAAGACTCTACATAATCCCTGATCACGCCTATAAACTGATCGTTATGAATACGGCGTCGCGCAAAGACCTTCAGCTGGATTAGAGAGTCCTTTTGGTAGCCACTTGACCACAAACACTATTTAGTATAGACAAGCAAGTAACCAAAGGGCTGCACTCACCAACGATACTCATTCTCCCATCGTAGTGAATGTCCTCTTTGTGTCTTTGTGACACTGCTTATCTTATCATCTACCTCAATCTGCACGAAGAAACGATCATCCCAGGATGCGAGCTCATTCTTTGGAAGGTGGTGAACGATGATATCTAAGAGGCGAATATGAGGGCTCAAAAGAGGAGGTCTGCCGCTTTACGGACTAGAGATACATAGCTGAGCCTTTGTCACTTCCGCTGCCTCTTCAGGAGGGAGTTTCCTCCTTGACATCCTGGAATTTCAACGTTGTAATATTTGGGCGCTAATTATCGTGGCGTCAGTCAGTGCCGATGGCGGGTTGTTTTTGCGATAGTCGCTCTGGAAATCCGACCCAAGTTGAGAAGAATGAGATGTTGAAGCAACTGAAGTACGCAGTTTCCCTAATGAACCCCACTGAGTGAAGCGCACACAAGAACTTGTACCAGGAGGACGTTTGCGCGTGTTAAAATTTGGGAAGACAGAATAAGGACGAGGAAAACAGGGTGTCAGTAAATGTAACTTTAACCGCTGCGTTACACATATAGATCAGTGGCTGGTAAATGCATGTCGTAGATTAAAAGGGCAAGTATGGAAATATGTGGTAGTACCGGATAGGCCCTTCGGAATTCGGCGTTAAACTGCTAGCTGAATTCGCGCACCTCAGGCAGCACTTCTCGGTGCCTATAAAGGGTCTCACAGACCCAGTTTCTATGTTATGGGAAACTGGTCTCTGAGACCCCCCCTCCCGCCATCTAATTATAGTTCGTGCTCTCGCATTCCCTCGCGGGCCTCCAGCACCTCCTTTAACCCTCTCAATCGGCCTCTAGGACCACTCAATACAGTACTTCCAGCCTCTCAAAGCCACTCCCTATAGTAGCCTCCCGCATCTCTCAGTAGGCCTCTCACAGGCAAGAAGCGCTACACTTTGTCCAGTGTCATGTGTACCTACTACTACTAGCATCATGGCTTTTACATAAGGGAAGTATTCAAATTGTCACGGTGTTGGAATAAGTCCCATGCTGGTACCATCCTGCATCCACGTGGTCTTAATACAGGTATACTGTATCATGTTAAATACAGTTACAATCTACTGGTAGCACATTCGCCACTCCCCAGCAAGAATGCACTGGGCAGACCAAGTATCATCCTCCACCTGGGGGCTCGGGAAACATTTTGTCAGTCCCTGCAAGTCTCGAGACCAGAGAAAAACTCAAACCTTCATCACTATCCCTGGTGCGGATGTCAAATGCCACCAGCTTGCCTTATGCATGCAAGCACTCATCAATCCAACCTCACCAGATGGTACTGCCACTACCGCACTCGATTCGAGCAGTTCTAACATTGATGTAACCATGGACATATTGAACAACGATAACGAATGGGTATATGAACCAGACCACAATACACCTGAACTTCATCTACCCTCTCTAAGTCAGTGTGACATACCACAGGTTTTGGAGACGCAGTCAATTGAGCCCCAGCGCCGCATCCTCCCTGACAAGACATCACGCAAGCTCTATGGAACTTGGATAGAAATAATCCCCACATTAATCGAACCTCTCTTGATGTATCTCGCAAGAACAGTTGGCCAGCCACTTGAGAAGTTGAATTCCACTATATCCGCATGCGCTACAAATTCATGCGCTCAAAAGCACACAACAATTGTTTGTCTCTTCTTTGACCATAAGTGTAGTCAGACTTGTCATCCAGGCTTACTACTACTCAACTTCAGGATTTGTCTCGACTGATGTCCTGAGCTGTGATTGCTCCACACTCCCACAAGTTCTCATACATCATGGCTTATTCCCCACTGTGCCCTTGCAGCCAAGGATAGCAGTGTCTCTTGAACTGCTGTCCTTTTATCGAGCCCTATTTGAACGTTCCTGTAACACCATCAATGCACTTGTAGCTGCATTGAAAACTCATTATACTCGACGAGGATTCCAATTAACAGACTCGCATGTAAGTCTATGGTTCAGATGCTCGTGATATTGTTAACTATCCGAGTTACAGGGAAACATCATTCAGGAACCTTTCAGAAGAAGTCTTGGAAGTGCCATTCAGTGGTATGATATCCTCCAGATTGAGATGGAGCGGAAGATTGAAGCAGCAATTCTGCAAGCTTGTGACCAAATCCGTGCCTCTTACGAGCCCTCACTTCCCTCTCATCATCCTCCAGCGACCTCTCACAAGCCTCCGGCGACCTCTCACGAGCCTCCATCGACCTCTCAAGACACTCAAGTTTCTACCTTACACAGGGCACATACTGCAGTCACTTTACCCTCGTATAAAACATACAGCCGAGGTTGAAATATCCCTGTTCTACACAGGCCACCTGATGTGGGCCCATCAATGTATCTTTGTGTTAAATACAGGTGGGCCGGTCTCAAGTGTGTATCTGATACAAACAGGGAGCCCATAGTATGTGGTGTAGTAGATAAGTGTAGACTTTTCTATTGACTTTGGTAGGTAGTGTATGAAGTATGTACCTGATACTGACAGGTGGGCCAGTCTCAAGTGTGTATCTGATACAAACAGTGGGCCCATAGTATGTAGTGCAGATAAGTGTAGACTTTTCTATTGATTTTGGTAGGTAGTGTATGAAGTATGTACCTGATACCAACAGGTGGGCCGATAGTCCAAAGTGTGGAGTTTGCTATTGCATTTGATAGGCAATATACAAGAGCTATATATGTATGTATATATATATGTATGATGGAAACAAGTGGGCCGAGTGGGCAGTGGTACTGATATATACAGATGGGCTGAAAGTGTTCATAGACTAGCTTCCATAATATACATGCCAAGACCACCTCGGTCAAAGGACATTCGGTCAAATATGATGGATGAGGGATTACCAGGAATCGATCCATAATATAAATGCCAAGACCACCCCAGTCAAATACACTTGGTCAAATACAACTCGGTCAACAGACATTTGGTCAAATATGATGGATGAGGGATCTACCAGGATCCGATGCATAAGATACATGCTAAGAGCACCTCGGTTAAATATGACATCGGTCAAAAGACACTCAGGGTAAATACGACTCGGTCAAATATGACTCGGTCAAAAGACACTTGGGTAAATATGACTCGGTCAAATATGACTCGGTCAAAAGACACTCGGTCAAGAGACATTCGGGTAAATATGACTCGGTCAAAAGACACTTGGGTAAATACGACTCGGTCAAATATGACTCGGTCAAAAGACACTCGGTCAAGAGACACTCGGGTAAATACGACTCGGTCAAATATGACTCGGTCAGAAGACATTGCTGCATGAAGCCATTCGGCAGTCACAGCACCTGCATGACGGTGCCATTAGGCAGGGTGGCATAGCCGTTCATAGGGATGTGGTAACTACTGAGTGGGACAGATACCGGAACGTGCTGAGACTCAGCCTTGAGACGCGCTGGTGAGCCAGTCTGATTGGACTGGGGAGGTTCTGCAGGAGGTGACATCTGCATGTCTGTCGGTTGATGTGCTGTGCCATTGAGAGTCGTGGTGGCGATGCCATTGGGTGGTGCAATCAGCCTGACCTGAGTCGCCATCTGGCGTAGGAGTGCCAGAATGGTTGCTGTTGGCTCCGTTCATGGAAGCGGCGGTGTGAGGAGGGGAGGACTGCTGAGCTGAAGACGATGGCAAGAAGATATCGGTGAATTGTACGAGTTGGTGAAGTTTCAGTTGCGTGGAATCTCATTGGCATGCGTGATGCGGCCACCGAGATTGGGCGATCGGTCATATGGAGTATAAATTGGTCAATTCTGAAAAGACAAGAAACTGAAGGATACCGTGCCAACTGCAACACATGACCGAAATACACTCTGCCGACATGCTGTCGGTACTTATATCACAGGAAAGAGAGTGAATATACATGGAATCAACGGCCAAACAATTGCATTTGAAAGTAAGTAATACAAGTCCGTGATATACTGGGGTAATTCTGCCAACGGACGCATGCTCTATGTACAACTATGTATTGAGCCGAATGATCAGGGGAGAGACTTTACGGCTGAAGCAGGTGATGTTCCAGCAGAATGGGGTCCAACTACAGCAGGAGCGGATGAAGGACCGGCATGTGCTGACACTGAGGATGCTTGGCCAGATGTGAATGTGTCGCCATGCATGTCAAGGCGACCGAAAGGGCGAGACGCTGAAGGGCCTGCAGCAGATGCTGAGGTAGCAACCGAAGGGCTGTACACACCGTTCAAGTACCTGATGCCCATTGCTTGCATCTGTGGGGTGGCTGAGGTAGCACCGAAGTTGCTCATCATTGGTGGTGGGAAGGATGGGTTGGCAATGGTCTGTGCCTCCCGAAGCTTCTCCACCAGGCTGGTCAGGCCATTGACAAGGTTGACAGTGGTGCCAAGATCGAACTGCATGGAGGAAAGCTTCGCATGCATCGAGGAGATCCGGGTTTCGCAGTCCTGCTGCACCGCATCGACCCTGGCAAGGGTATTCTGGTCAGTGACTTGCATGGCAGCGACCTTAGCAGCCAGGGAAACCACACATTCGTGGATGGCGCTGACGGTGGGTGGGAGAGATGCCGAAGGGAGGGAAACATCTCCGGCCGCAGGAGTTGCCAGTCGGAATGACGAAGTCATCGGAGTTGGGCTCTGCCCAATGATCAGCGGGGAAGTCATCCGCAGATGCGATTGCCCGAGGCTCATCGACAACGATCTTGTCGTCCGCTGTGGGCTCAACCAGGGCATCAGCAGTGGGCTCCATGTCAGCGTCATCATCACCTGTGATGGACACATCTAGAAGCAAAGGTTAGAGGACATTATCATAAAACAAATGTTTGCTTACCAGTAGCCTTGACACCCTCCACTTCAGACTCCATGATGGGAGTCGGTGGATGTGCCCGTGAGGTTGCTCTGGTTCTCCTGAGCGGACCATTGGACTTGGACCTCGGGGTTGCCATCAGGGGAACCTTCTTGGAGGCTGGTGCAGCCCTGGACCTCGGGTGTGCCATTGGCGCAGGAGTGTCGGAATCGACCGACATCGGTCGGTCACACTTCACCTTCATGAGGCTGCATTTGGTGCAGGACCTCATGACCTGCCCTTTCTTGCCGATGATGACAAGGCAAGGCTCATCGACACACCTCTTGCAAGGTGGATCGTACTATCACACTGTGAGTACTCGGTGACCGAGCAGAGATAGAAAACTCACAGTCTTAGCCCCAACATCAGCCTTGGCTAGTGGGCACCCTCTAATGGACTCGGCAACTTCCTTGGCCTTCTCCTTTCCTTTACCCTTCGCCGGCGTGCGACCGATGGCGTCCTCGGCATGCGTCTGAGAATTGTTGAGGGGTGATTGCTGGTGGGCAAAGGTAAATCTCACCTTCTTGACGCCTTTGGTCACGCCCTGTCCATGAGTCAGTGACGGTGTCGATATTGAATTCACCGAAGTGCTTACCTTGGACTTCGGCGGACCAGCCGGCTTTACAACCACAATGGTGCCTCCTGGCTGACCGTCCTCATCCTCGGTGTCAGAGACCAAGACTTTTGACAAGGGCCTTGAGACCTTGCGCTTCTTCCGGCCCATCTCAGCGCTTGGGCTGTCCTCTTGGGATCTCCGAGTCCCGTGGGCAGGCTGTTTGCCCTTGCCAGGTCATCGTGCCAGGCACAAGAAGATTGTGCTGGTGCCCGGCGGTAGGGAGCGATTCAATCAGAGGGACTGATATTGGTGCAGGGGCTGGGGCTGAGGCTGAAGCTGAAGCTGAAGCTGGAGCTGGGGCTGGCATGACTTGAGGTGCAGGTTCGGGTATGCCTCCTGCCACTGTCAAGATGTTGAGCTGTGAAGATAGACAGAATGACTGCCGACTTACCATATCCGACGGTCTTTGGGAAGAATGGGTGGGACTCCATCCGAGTATCTTTATCCCGGACCCGGGCCCACTGTGGGGCGATGCCTTTGTTCATGGTCGCTCTGACCTCGGCTGCAGCAGACAGCAGCAACGGCGAGATGACCGAGGCATTTCTGCCATGCTGCTGAAGGGCAGTGGACTGTGAAGGGTTGGTGAGCAAATTAGAACATCGGGAATCAGAAACTTACCACTAGCCGGGCAATTGCATGAGCTTGGTCAACGACCACGCTGCCATCTGCTTGATGAATTTTAATCTGGCGGAGTGCACGGCGCAAAGATGTGTCGGCGACCGCCAAAGCCTGGTTCGATTTGAGTGTTGAAGACATTGTACAGATGTAATAGTAAAAATGTAGAAGATAGGATGAGTGTTGACTCTGTTATATGGGGAACGACAGTATGTGGATGTGGATTTGACTTCACAAAAATGAAGTTCACAAATTGCGCTCATGTTGTCGGCAAAATGCCGTCTGCATCAGCAGTGGGTTATGAAGGTGAGTATCGGTCACGTACATTGCCATTCCACACTGACTATTTCTCAGCCAATTTTGACATGTGCTGGGGAGATTCGCCATTGGGCGGAGGTGATGTCCTTCGCACCAGTGGGACCACCGCACCAGCGATGAACTCGGTCAACTCAGGTTGGTCGGAAATCCTTTTTTGAGTTGCTGATACTGACAGTCTGGTGCAGCTGCTAACACACAGCAGTCGCCTGAGAGTCACTCCACTGGCACTCAGGCTTTCTATGACATTGTTATGACCAACGTCCCTTAACCTAACTAGTAGGTGTCTGGAGTTTGGATCGTCTGAAGAGGATAAAGCAAGGATAGATTGAGAGGGAACGTCTAGGCCTACGATGACGTAAGAACGAAGAGGTTAAGTCTAAGGAGTACTACTGACTACGACCTAAACTATATACTACTCTCTAAGCGGAGATATCTGAGTATGAAAGGTTGTGATATATCTATATACGGTCATAACATTGCACCTAGGGTATAGGGCGTCTTATCAACCAATCAACTACAAGAAGGAAAGGGTAAAGGGTTCATAGGGTTTAGGGGTATCGGTGATTAAGCAGGGTTCTCAGGGACTGCTTCTATTCAGGGTAAGTGGAGATGAAGAAGGGTGTGAGAGAGTTCTGTGACAAGAAGTCTCGAGCGGTAATTAAGGATCTCGATAAGAGATGGGATCTGGAGATGTATCAGGTACGATCGGATCTAAGGGTTCTCCAGGGTCTTCGGTAATGAGCATGCTTCTCTATGAGTGGCGCTTCTGTGATAGGGGTTCAGGGTTTAGCTGTGACTGTGCAACAGGTTCTTATGTAAGGGGTTCGGTAAATGACAGAGGTAACTCTTAACATGTCATGTGTAGGAAGTGAAGGTCTGCGATGTGAAAGGGTGATGACTCTTCGAGAGATAGCTCGTAAAGGACTCTCGGTTATGGTTCGATCATAGAGGCATGTAGATGCTTATGATGTAACCCGTTGCCTAATCATAGGACTTCTAAGGATGTGATGAGTTCGTATGTCTAGGGTTACGGATAAGATGGATGATGTCGATGTAGTATAGATGTGATGTAAAGATAGTGATCGTTAATTGGTTATCCATCTTATCTTATCAGGGATCTATCTAATCTAATCTTATCGGATAAGGTGACTTAGGGTTTTGATAATCGAAATTTAGATGCAGTTGGTAACATTCATGACAGACATGGGCTTTGGCTGTGGCTCACCGGATACATCTGTAGTACCGAGAGACGGCTCGCCGAGCTGACATGTTCGAAACCACCGAGGATTTGCTGCACTGAGCAACTCTGAGGCTGGAAAGCATCAATGCTTTAACAAGTACGTTCATATTTCAGCTCATCCTCACTGGCATCACATTGACCTGCACTTGACAGGAGATGACCTAGGACACACCTCGGCCATCGATGATGTCGCGTCTCCCCAAGATATTGTGCATGCCAACCGGGATTTGATATCAGGCATATCGGGATGCGCGCAACCGATTGATTGAAGCCGGCAAAGATGTTGTCAGGATGCAGCATCTGATGAACATGCAGCGCCAGATTGATGATCCACTGCATGTGTTGCTGCTGGCAATGAGGAAAATGGGCAGGGGACATTCCCCATTCCAGTAGTATATAAGACCAAGTACTGATACCAAAGGTTGTTAATAAATGACATGTATATACCAAGATCATTGAACAAATGAGATGTATATAGCGAGATGATTCATGGCCGAGGAGAAAGCTATACACAAATATCAGTCAAGTGATATATACCGAAGCCAGTCATACTGTGAGCAGCTGGCCGATGAACCCCATGAGACCGCCGACAACTACACATAGTCGGCATATCTCTTGGGCTTTTGCCGAGGTCTGGCGCCTAGTGAGTCGTCAACCTTACTTCTGGTGCGCTTTGCTGGTGCATCAGAGAGTGGGTATGCTGCTGATTGGGTAGCCCTAGTCTTCTTCGGCGACTGGTCTTGTGCCGCCAGTGAAGCATCTGCGGTAGCCCCTGTCTTCTTTGGCTGACCGGGCTTTGACCGACAGTGATGCATCCCCGGTAGCCCTAGTCTTGTTTGACACCCGGACCTTTGCTGCTGGGGGTGCCTGAATGTGTTCCAGACCCCGATGAGTAGAATGTGGGCCGAAACCACGGGCATGCTGTCCAGCATGATGAACTCTG